CTTATGTTTAATAATTCTAATATATAGAGTACAATTGTCTGTCTTCTCTCGTTGCCATACCTTAATGATGCTAAAATATAGTGAAGATAATTGAACAAATGAAAATAAATAAATTATTATTTTAATAATTTTGAATAATATAATAATATTATTTATTTATTTTTTGGTGTGGAATAATATTATTTTAATTATTGAATGTTTAGTATATTTAAATTAGCTAACAGATTTAAGTCAAAAAATTTATTTTTTTAAATATAGATCGGACCATATTTATAATTTAGACATATACAAAACTAACAGAACATGAAAGACCTAAAATAATTTACGCACTAAACAAAATCTATCATAGCCCAATTTATTTACACCCGTGGAATGACAAACGTCCGTACGGTCAAAATCCTTGCTACTTCTCTAGAATGTAAATGAAACAAAAAAGGAATGCCTGCAGGTTGCTCTCGTCACCGTGGTCATCCCCGATGCTCTTTTATACATACATGCAAATGGAATAAAAATGTATGATAAAGACAAAGCAAATGCAATGTCCATTAATTTGAGAGTTTGAAACTATTATTAGATGTTAAAATGTCAAAAAATTAGTTGGTAAGAAACTTTACAATTTCAAATATATACTAGATTAAGAAAGTGTTTGTAGCCAATAAGTATAGTTTAGTTGGTTATAACATAAGTTGAGGAGGTGATAAGAGAATTTATATTTAATTCTCATTCAAATATATTTTGAGGGGAAATATTATAGTTACTATATCTTTTTCTTACTATCTTTTACTACTAAATCTTAACTATTAATTTTTGTCAATCTAATGATTATAATTTATTGGGTCATACTTATTAATTTCTAATAAATTATAACCGTTAGATTGACGGAAATCAACGATTAATATTTGGTAATAAGAGGTGATAAGAAAAAGAAGTAGTAAATATAACATATCCCATTTTTTGGGAAGGGGCAAAAGAATTAAAGTTTGGAAACCAACTCGTCTCAAAAAAATAATAAAAATTGGTATAAAAAAAAGTGAGTTTGTGAGTTGACCTCAATACTTTACCCATTTACAATTTCATACGGTATTCTATTAGAGTTTGTATGAATGTGTTTCAATGGCATACATACAATATTTTTTTATTTTTTTTTGTAATAAGCATACATACAATTTAATCTCTAATAAGTACTACTGATCATGTTTTGTCCCCTAAAAAATTAACGTTTCCTCAATATTTTTAATTTTATGTCTTACTTATTGGAATTTTGTGAGTGTTAAGAACTTTGGGATACACCACCCCAAAAGCTAGCTCAGGGGGTGGGAGTGCCAAGGCCTTATAAAAGTCATATTAGTTGCCCATCTAATCAATGTGGGACTATATATCTCAACACGCCCCCTCACGCAAGAGCCCATTGGGCTTGAAGAGTGGACAATGCAACAGGCCCAGTCTACCTGAGTTAAGAAATGCCACAAGAGAAAGTGGGGGGCGGCGAGACTCTGATACCATGTAAAGAACCTTGGGATACACCACCTCAAAAGCTAGCTCAAGGGGTGGGAGTGCCCAAGGCCTTATAAAGGCCATATTAATTGTTCATCTAATCAATGTAGGACTATATATTTCAACAGTGAGTTCATGGAAATGATAATTTGAGAAGACTAAAGAACTAGAATTTATTTCAATAACTAATTTACAATACACATTCTCTTTGATCAACTAGTTTATTTAGTTTACGAGAAATTATGGACGCCTTCTTCATATTCAACTGCAATAAAATTACTAATTTGAGGTAAATTAGGAGAAGACATAAATAACAACGAATTAAGATATTGTTGGGGAATGCTTCCCTTTCCATCTTCCTGAAAAGAAGTTACATAATCACCAAATTAGTAAATTACAATGCTGAGTGTTTAATTACAATTTATAGTATTGGGCTGATTTCATTCATCTATGCTTATTTATACATACACTGTAGTTTATCATAAACTAATAATTCAAAATGATTAATTTGATTAAGTTACGCATGTACTGATTCAAAAATTTGTATAAATAAAAGTAATTATTTTTCAAAATAAACTAATTTAAACAAGCATATTATCTTAAACAAGAAATGTTATGATTTTTTTTAATAATACATAAGGCCTACCTTTGGTGGGCTTGGCCGAAGAGGCTATGATATGACACGAGAAAAATAATGAGAGAAAAGAAAGAAAAAATTAAGATAGAAAGCAACCCTATCTTTAATAGTGCATTCAGTTCCAATATAATGTTAAAAAACTGAACTGACAAATTCGAACAATCACCAAATAAAATCCGTTACTATAATCAGAGACAATAAACTATATGCAAGTCCTAAAGTGGTCAAAATCATACAAAGCGAGTCAATGCATGTGAGCTAGGACGACAAGTATCACTCACATGAAAGACAGGGAGGTAGGAGTCAAATACCCTCCTCCACACATCACCAATTTATTTCACAGCTTCTTTCTCAGGAATGATGTCTAGTGCCAATTCACCATTAGAAAATTTATAAGGATAGTGAACCCACATGTTTAAACCTTAATTACTTCCAATTCTACTTTACAAGGGCATTAACGAAGTCTACTTAGATAAGTGATCTATCTCTACATAAATTTGTCTACGTATCATTCTAAGATCAATTAACAAGTCCTTCGTAAGGCTAGTTAACTACATCAATTATCTTAATCATATCGCTGCTACTCTTACTCGATTTTGAGACCCAACAGGATTAATGAAAAGAATAACAGTTTCTATTCTCCAGCTATATGCACAACTACACATGCCAGGAAACAACATGAATCTCAAGAGCAAGTACGCACTAGCAGTCATTATTTAAAGATCACATGTTATCACTCACAGCTTAGAGCATCACAAAACATTCATATCAAGTATATATATATATATATATCTATATAAAATCTCCCTTACAATCCATAGGAAATATAATTGATAAGCAATCATTAATTCAAGTAGCAATTCACTATTTCACACATAGTGCTCAGGCACAAGTATACCCCATGATAACCATGATCGTGCACACACATCTTGCGTGACAGTGAGTTGATCAGGCTCACCACCTAGCAAGGAAATGGGCACAACCATACTTAATATTGGGTACTACCACTACCATCACACCTAAAACTTCCACTATTTTCTTTTTGAATAATAAAACAAAAAATGTACAATTGTACATTATAATATTCTACACTTTTTTTCAAATAAACAAATATATAAAAATAATGAAATATTTTTTTTAATGTATAAACAGTGTTACTCTTGTATTTATCTGTAATGGGGTGTGGGGACAGGTTTTGTGCGGACTGTCAGAGGCCCACTTGGCAACTTGTGAATCCAATGATCAAAAGTTCAAAATCAAGGCACTGAAGAGAAGAAGAAGATGTGAAAAGTGATATGTACTGGCAATAATCACGGAAGGGTACACACATTCCTGATACAGCGAAAAATAAAACCGCGTGCTCTCTAAGCCACAGTGAATTTTTTTATATTTTTTTAGTAAAAAAGCCACAGTGAAATTAGGTCACGAAAAAAGCAATTTGGTTTTGGGTCCCTGTTTGCAACATAATTCTTTGCGGGTCATTATGTTTTCCAACAACCTCACCCCTTTAGTATGTTGAAAATTCGTGACATGCCCCACCAGGTCTTATAGTTTTACACGTTTCGTACCCTTATTTTTATGCTTTTTCTGTCACACAAGTGAAGTGATGAGTCAAATACGTGCTATATATAATAATGTACGGATTTTTTGTTATTAGTTCCATTGGCGTGGTTGATGGGATCATTGACCTATCTCAACTATACTAAATATTTCAGTATATGTAGGGCACCTTCCCATTTCGATCCATGACTGGATTGATCCAAAAATACCTTGAGATCCATAGATTTGTATTGGCTATTTATTATCTTTAATTATGAGAATTTTAATTGGGTTCCATTTTGATTGGAAGAACATGCATCTTTATTTTTACTTTCTTTTTTATTTTTTACGTTTGGCTTTAGGCAAATCTGCACTCTGCAGCTCCATTGCGAATATAGCATTCTTAGAATGGAGGGGCAATATCTGTTTCTTTATTTAAGAATGGTTGATAAAAGTAAAGCTGAGATTTATTTATTTATTGTGATAAGGCTCATATTGTTATACCACATAATTTTTGTATCAGCCGAAAAAGACAAATGTAGGGCCAATATCTGCCGCTTCATTTTTTATTTTAAGCTGAAAGCCAAGGAAAAAGCCCAATTGGAGGTTTCAATAAATAAAAACAGTTTTAGTATTATAAAATAGGGTTTAATATATCTTGAAGATAATTTATCTTTAATGAATTCAAATTAATTTTTGAGGTTAAGAAAATGTATTTTATAATTTTAAAATATTCTAGAATTATATTAATCTTTATTATTATAATTTTTAATCTTTTAACTCTAAAATAATATCATTTTAATTTTTTATTAAAAAAAAATTTATTTTCGGCACCATTAAACTCAATAATAAGAAATATATTTCTAGTACACAAAAAAATAAGTAAAATTTATTAAAAAAAAAATTCACTTTTTTTTATAACGTACGCAACAAATTACCTTTTACAACTTTACAAACACATTCCCTTAAAACAATAGTTACACCGAAGAACACAAGTATCGAATCAAATGAAATGGTCATAACATGGGAATTGACCTGCTATCTACGTTTTCTTTCCCCCTTCTTAACCGCCTTTTAACGGATCATGCGACAATATACATAATATGAGAAAAATATTTTTTTTTGAACTAACACTCATATTTGTTAAAATTATTAATTATTATTTAATATATAAATTAAAAAAAAATCACACTTTCTTTCAGTAATTTTTTTTTCACACAATAAAATACAATAATTTTAACTAAAACGATACAATTTTATATCTTTAAAAAAAAAATCTCAATTTATATCTATTCACAGCAAATTAAATGATAAATAATGAACATGCTCTGGTTGCTAATAGCCTAATACAAAGGCACCGGCAGTCGCGGTGGTTTTGGCGGTGGCTTCTCCACGGTGACAATGATCTTCTCCGGCCGTGACGGCTGGCACGGGCAAGGCATGGCTATGAAGGTTGGTACCTCATTGCCGGGCATCAACACAGGCAAGCTCTGGTCCTTGCTTTGCTTGAATTCCTGGCCACCAACATAAAAAATGGAAATGAAAATTCAAAATTATATATAACTAATTAATGTTTCTTTGTTCTGCTAGCTAGCTAGTGAGTGAGTGAGAGAATATAAAAGAGATACCGTGGAATCAAACTTGGATTTGGAGGGTGAGGATTGGGTGTGGGAGTCTCCATCGTGGGGATCCGAGAAAGATTGACGGAATGAACGGAACTTGTCCCAGTGGTAGCAGCATGAGAAGATGCCACTCAAGCTGAAGATTATGATCAAGAGTAGTGCAGTTCCTAAAGGGAAGCCCAGGGACGGTCGAGATGTGTCCACGCGTGGTGGCGAAAGATCTTGGCGCTCCATCATCCACACTTGAACGAACCCCTCCTTGCTGCTTGTGTTTTAACTGCTACTGTCTGTTGTGGTTGTTGACTTGTTGTTGTTGTTCCTACACTCATGTATATGAAGGGGAACGACAAGACAAAATTAAGGGATATGAATTGAAGAAAGTGAAATAAATTAGAAGGAATGGGGAAGGTGAATGGAGTGTGATAATGTTGGGGGAAAGGGTAGGATATATAGACACTTGTGACTTGTGAGAGAGGGTTTAGAGAGAGAGAAGAGAAGAGAAGTGAGGTAGGTCTGGGTAGCTCCTGTGTGAAGATACAATATTAACCTTATGTCATGTCTGGGCCATGGTACGAAAGATCAGTAGGGTCCACTGCTTTAATGGTGAGGAATTAATTACCGGTGACAACTTCTAACGGCGAGTTTCTAAACAGTTAATAAATTTTAAAATTTTTCATTTGTAGCATTTTTTTTTATTCTTATCTTCTTGAACGACTTAAATATTAAAAAAAAAAATTATCACAAGTATTTATTGAAGGTACAAATTTGTAATTACGTTTTAGTTTCGAAAATAAGAGTCAAACCATCATTTACTTTCATTAAATAATGTAACCACTATATTTGTTTTTTTGTTTTTTTTTTGGGTAATAAACCACTATATTTGTTAGTTGCAAGGGAAGTGTAAAAAATGATTAAACACTTTGACGTGAAAATATTATTTTCGTTTTGTAAATGATGTTATTTAGTATGGATACTGGAATAAAGAAGAAAAAAACAGAGAGAGAGAGAGAGAGAGTTGTGGCAAACAAGAAATTGACTTTGAAGTTTGAACTTCAATAGGCGGCTGTTGGGGAAATTTTTTTTGATGTCACGATGTATTGAGTTTTCAGTGTTTTTTTATTTATAATATGATATCTGTTTTATTTTTATTAAATTATTAATAAATAATTTTTTTAAATATCAGATGCGAAAATAATTTAATAAAAAGTAAGATCCTAATCACATTATAAATGAAAAATACACTAAAAATTTAATGCATCTTTAGCACTGAAAATATTATGTGGACTATTGAAAGAACAGTGATCAAAATGTCACTGTTCATCAATTTTTTTACCTAAATGTCACGCGAACAGTGTTATTTTCTAATCTGTCACGGGCAAGTTCGCTACCCGGTGTAGCAAACTCGGTTTACTGACGTGTCACGTTTCTAGTGGACACCAAGTTCGCTACACTGGGTAGCAAACTTCATACTTTTTTTGTAACTTGGTACTTGTTATCCACTAGAAATGTGACACGTCAGCAAACTGAGTTCGTTACTCCGGGTAGAGAACTTGCCCCTGTGGCAGATTGAGAAATAACACTATTCACGTGGCATTTAAGTAAAAATTTGGTAAACGATGACATTTTGATCGGTGTTCCACTATTGGAGACATGAAAGGCTGAGGGCATACATGCATGTAAGCCATTCCCAAATTTCAAATGTCTTCCTCTTGCGTATGATCTTTAATAAGTTATTTATTGAGGGGGCGTTTGGTACTAGAGAAATTTTTTTGTATCCTGGAATCACGATTATCGAGTATATAGCTGGAACAAAAATTGTATGGGAATTTGACGAAAAAGATGTTTGGTAGCACAAAATATTACCAGAAATATTGATTAATTTTTGTGAATGAGTATTTGGTTGAAAACAAAATATTGATAGGAATATGATAAAATTTCACAAAAGTACCCTCGTGAAGAATAACTTATAAAAAAAATGATTAACTAAAAACAAAGCATTTTCAAAACGCAAACGCAATTTCCTCCCTCTGCATCCGTCTTGGTTAAATGTCAACTAGGGACAAGCATATGTTGCTTGTATAATATAGTCTCTATACACAGCTTATTTAGTACGTCCACTAGAGTAGTTTGATTTTTATCTTTTATCTTCAATATTTGTTCAGGTTGTGTTCTTGTGATGAATTATATCAGAAGTTAGCCTCCCCACTTATCATCCATGGGAGTTCATGCAATTTGTGGTTTTTTTTTTGGGTAAACTAAAGACTTTATTTTCAAATCGTAATGTTTCATTTTTATCTTGAATCATTGTGCAAGTTGTGTTCCTGTGATGAACCATATCAAAGGTTATATAGACCCTACTTGTCATAGATGGGAGTTCATGCTATTAAGTAGTTATTTTTTTCATGGTACATGATGAGCCATATTTTTGGCAGTTGTGAAACAAATATGTTAAAATCATTTGTTCATAACCACTCTTAAAATACTGTCATTTAAGGGGTAAAGAAAACAAAAAAAGACATTTGTTTCATTAGAGAAGTGATAGTACATGATCGGCCATAGTATGGTTGATCCATCGTTGGTGGTTCCCTTTACAATATATGTTTGACCAACATTTAAAGCAATCAATTTCGACCATAGTATGATCCATCACCAAGTAAGGCATCACAACTGCTTTCCAATTTAAACTTTGGCGTGTACTTATAACCAAATGAATTGAACACGTTTTGTTCTGCAGGTGCTTATAACATAAAAATTTAATGATACATGAACAACACATATAAACAGAGTGTGACACCTGGGTACTGCAGAACATGCACACGATTTAAATAACATATCAACCACATGTTGTTCATGGTTTCACAACACTTACATATATAAGGATTCACAAGGTAGTTTGTCATAGTATTTTAAGCTACTACAATTCACAACATTAACAAGAAACTGAACAAGCTGCTCTTTATACAGCAGCAACATGGATACTTCAGACACATGTTCTTCTTGGTAGTTCTTCTGTACAATTGGAACCTTAAATACAGACAAAGGAATGCATCAAATTTTAGTCATATGTCAATACAGCGTGTTTAAACTACTCCTAAAGACCCTAACTAACAGAGGCTACAACTATCATGATCAAAGCTATGGTTTTGACACCAGTTCTCATTATTTTAACTTGAAATTCGTTTTACAAGTCCTAATATTATTCTAGGAATATTCATGCACTTTTTATACTTTTCCGGGATACTTCATGGTACGCATTTATACCGAGTAGCAGAACCGGTATCTGCACTGTTCGTCAGAAAAGCGACTTTCAGCATTATTAACCATTTTCTATATTTATTTAAGCCTCATAATAATTATTAGGGTCAATTTTGGAATTATTTCTTAATTTCTCATAATTAATTAATTAACTTCCTTAATTAACGGTGCAGGTTCTTACACGTGCCATAGTTTTTTTTTTTTTTACTTCAAAAAATGTGAGCCCCACAAATTGTTGTGTGTAGGAAACTTTCTTGTGTCATGTTAAATGATAAATGCAAATTCCTTAAATCATTCAAAATACGTCTAAATCTTAGATCTCAAATAATGCAAATGTGTTGTTTTCCTGTTCCTGCCAAACAAATAATAATCATATATGCTGGTTCATTTGGACTTGGATTTGATCTCAATTTGTTAGATTTCAAATTATAGTTTTTTTTAATAATTGAGACAAATTTATTAAGCCACAATTCTGGTTAACTCCGAGCTTCTAGAACCAACCCTTGTCGCTTGGACTATATGCAATGGATCAAGTGTAAGTGTATAGAGTAGTCCCAAAAAGCACTCTCATGAATTACGAGGGTGGTGGATAGGGTCATAGGGGTAATAACTTTGCTTGTTGGGTCGAATTTGTGTTGTGTTTAGGCTTAATACGAGCACAAATATTTTTAATCTTAATATGATATCATTACTCATATTTGAGCTATCAAATGTAATATGATATATTTATTATGCGATTTGGCATGCGATGATGAGAATCATTTTTTTTCTTTAAATTATATGAATAAAAAATCTTAAATTACATACAAATATGTAATAAAACTGGAAATAAATATATAATTGTTTGAGCTTACAATTTCATATCAGGTTTGTGGATTGATACAAATATAAATATTTTTAACACAAACATGACATAATTTTTTTCATATTAATTTTAGATTGACATGAACGTAAATATCCTTAATAGTAACAAAAAAATTCCACATCATATTCGGGACATGTACATATTGGCGAATCGTGTTAAAAATCAATACTCTTAAATAGACAAGAATAATTAGATGAAAAGTTTAAGGAAAAGGATGCAAACTACACAAAGTCAAAAGTTTTGGATGGAAGCACTCCAATCCTATATATTGAGTTAACTCTAATTCGCACCGTACCACATATTTAATATATAATAACCCATCTGATTTGATATGTGAGTTATTAGAAATTATAATGTATTTATAACTTAATATACATACATTAACCCCCGCGCTTATTTTTTTTTTTACTTTTTATTTCAATCATCAAGTGCTCTCCTTAATTTTATGTACGCTTATGATGTGTAAGAAATAATATATAAAACTCACACGGGTGCGGATTTATTTTTAAGAGACATGATGACTAATAAATGTTAAAAATATATTAATCACGCGTCGTACTGAAAATGGACCCCCACTCTTATGTCCAATTGGTAGAATGTTATATCACGTTACTAGTTGTGGATAACATTTAATATAGTAATTTATAAAGGAATACCCTATGCTATATCATTCAAAACGAAATATACATCTCTAGTATGTGTAGTTCTTAATTATAAAGTGTACTCGAGATAATATCCTAGGTGTAATAACTCATAATTCATTTATCTATATACACAGAGAAAGAGAGCAATAATAATAACAATTAACAATAAAAACTGTAAAAAAAAGAAAGAAAGAAAAGGTCCATTTAATCGATATTTTTATTTATGGTAATTATAAATTTTGAATTTGAATTCAATTTTAAAGTCTTTTATTAGTATATAGTTTATGATTTCATTATAACCAATACTCACTAAAATTAGTAATTTCAACTTGAACTGAAATTTTTTTCCATTAACCTAAAACTTTGTATGGAAAAAAAGAGGTGAGATGTTATCAAAAAAAAAAAAAAAAAAGAGGTGAGAGAGAAAAGACAAGTAGCAACTGAATAAACATCAAATGAATGAAGGTAGCGACAAGATGACAACGCAATCTAGCATCCAATCGATTGATATATTTAAGTAGTTGCGGTTGATGGCAATGGACACCGTCACCATCCCAAAAGATATGCCGTGTGAAGTTCAAATTAATGCTTGCATTGGGTAGTTAAGAATTTTTATTTTTTTATATTATCCATCACTT